TTTGTTCATAAACCGCTTATTTACTTGTGTGGGGTAGAAGAACTAGGTAGAGCTATGTGGCAGTACCTGCTCTAGTTATTCCACTTGTTCTGTCTGTGCCAGGAGAGGAGAGAGGACTATAGGAGAGATGAGATCAAGATGGAAGATTATATCCTGGCCTTCCAGGAATAGTTTGAAGTAACAGGAAAAATGTTAGTGCATTTTCCACAGCTGCTTAGAAAATAATAAAATTTGCTCTTAGCTGGCCAGAAATTATAAAAGCATCCCCGAAAGTCAATAGGAAATGATTGAGGGTGAAAATCATTGCCCAAAACATGGACAGAAGGACCATGGCAGGAGATAGTGATGGATTACTGAGCATTGGAGGCTTAGTGGCTTTGGATACATGAGATCAGGAAAAGCCCAGGTAGCCATGGTCATGTCTGTAGGGCCTGTGAGACACAGTGTCTTTCCAATAAATCATTTTCATAGTGACATTAATCAGAAATCAGCTTTGAAAACCCTGCCTAATTTACTCACATTCCTAGAATAAACTGTTTATACTCATTTTTAATATATCATTGAACCGAATTATTTACATTTTTAGTTAAGACTTTTACTTGGGACACTGGTATGGATGGCTCTTGGGTCAAACATCACTGCTGTTATAGGGCAGAGGAAGGCAGGTATGGATTGTCTGGCTGCTCTTACCGACTTCCTCAAGAATGCTGGAAAATCTTGCTCAGAATCAGATGCCAGTCCTCAGCTGAGTCCACAACTAGGTGACTTTACTATTGGATGCTGCCCTGCCATTGGGAGCCCCTGCCATGAATGACTTCTAAACTCTTCCTGCATCTTTGCATCACTCATTCACAAGTCCAAGTTCTTGGCTGAAACCAATCTTGCGCTGACAGTGTAGCTATTAGGTGTTGGGGAGTCTGGTTCTTTCTTCCCCCAAGAGGGCAATTCTCTCTATGTCAGAAGGAGGTTTGATATTATATTCCCAGAACAAAAGAACCCAGATGGGAGCCCCTTTTAAAAGAGTATTTGAAATTAGAAAGTTTTAATGTAACTCACAGAGGAAAAGACAAAACTCATACTTTTTTCTAAAAGAAAGTTGATGGAATTATCTTGCATTCTTCCTTAAAAACCAAACCAAAGACCAGAAAAATTGGAAATTGATAGAGGGTACGTAATAGGGCTATGTAACAGTTATTATATTAGTTGGTAAAAACTTTAAATATTTATATTAATACATATTTGCAGCACATAATGACCACATTAATCGTGGGGAGTTGGTACTGTGCATAACACATCTTAGTTCTGTCTTCATACCCTGCCCCATCTCTAGGTTTGGTTGCAAAAGAAGAAGCTGTTCCATTAAGGCCAGGAAGAAGAAAAGGATGCACGTTCTCACAACTACCACTGAGCCTTCTTCTCAGGTCTCAGCCAATGCAGTAAGAAGAGAAATAAATACGGGGAGACATTTTGAAAAGGAAGAACTAGAACTTCTATTATTTAAAGAAAATGTGATTAGTTGAAAAGCTTCCATAGACAAACTGTTTTAACTAATAAGAATTTAGCGAGATGGTAGGGAATAAAACCAGTGCCGAAAAAAGTAATTGCTTTTTAATACATTAGCAATAGCCAGTCTGTACAACAGTAAAACTATAACATATCTAAGAATAAGCTTATATGAGCTACATAACAAATTGCCACACACATAGTGGCTTAAACACACCGAATTTGCTATCTCACAGTTCTGTAGGCCAGAAGTCCAGATGGATGTGAGTGGGTTCTCTGCTCAGGGTCTCACAAGGCTGAAGTCAAGGTGTTGGTTTGCTGGTCTCTTATTTGAAGACTCTGGGGAAAAATCTGCTTCCTCAGCAGCCTGTAGCTTCTTTCAGGTAGTTGGCAGAATCTCATTTTTGTGAATGGGGCCACATTTCCCTTTCCCTGCTGGCTGTCAGCTAGGGGCTAGTCCAGCTTTTTGAGGCTGCTCAGACTGCTTCTCAGATGTCCCACTCCGTCTTTCAAGTGGCAAGGACATGTGAAGTCCGTCTCAAACTCTGAACATCCTTGACTTTTCTTCTGCCTTCTCCTTCTGCTGAAGAAAATGTTTGCATTGATTAGGATAAGTGCTCCCTAATAATCTCCCTCTCTGAAGGTCAACTGTATGGAATATAATACACAGTTGCTTGAATGGTAACTTCATATTCACAGGTTCCAAAAATGAGGACAAGACTTCTTTGGTGGGTGTCTTTTTCTCGTTGCTGAGACAAAATATCTGACACCCAAGGTTAAAGAGGAAAGGTTTATTGTAGTTCTTAGTTTGTAGAGATGTCAGTCCATAATCAGCTGGCTCCAAGGCTGTGTGGCATGGCAGAGAGGCATCACAGGAGAAATAGTTTGTGGCAGGCAGATGGTAGCAAAGCAGCAAGCAGCAAGTGACAAGCAATAACAGCAGCCTTCTTTCTGTCCCTTATATTCTATCTAGGGTGCTTGCCCTTAGGGCAGGGAGCACTCACACCCGGTGTGGGCTTCCCATTATCCACACTCAGAACTATGCCAAACCAATCAGTGGACTGATTTAGTAATCACACACTCTTAATCCCAGCATCACACACTTAATCCCAGCATCACACACTCTAGATCCAACCACTTCTGAAAAGCCCCACGTATGACTGACTGCCTGAGGCTTTTGGAGGACATCTAGACACAAACCATAACAGTGGGGGAGGGTATTTTGTAAATTTCACCTGCTACAAAGTAGCAGAATTTTATGAGGCCTATGTAAAAAAAGTATAAATTTTTCTTGAAGTATATAAAAGAAAATCATATATGTTTTACATGATAAATATTGTATCATTCCTCTCTTCACCAATCATCAAGTCTGTCATTTCAGTTCAATTCCAAATTCCCAGCAGAATTGTGATTTAAATTGGCAAGCTGATTCTAAACTTCTAGTAGAAAAACATGCCTAAGAACTGGCAAAAGCAATTTTGAAAAGGAACAATGAATATCAAATTATGTTAAACTCATTAAAATATTGGTATTATTCCTAGACCAATCTATTGGATAGGACTGGGTAGTTAGCAGATGAGAAAGCTTTTTCAAATCAAAATGGAAATGATGACCTTTTTAGTAAATGGTGGTGCAATTATCAGTCCATTTGGAAACTGAGTTAAGCCTTGTCCCAAGCACAAAAATAATTTCCAGATGGAGTGAAGAACTAAATATGCTAAGTAAAATTGGGCAAGTATTAGAAGTTGTAGGAGAATTTGCCGATAAACTTTGGATTAGAGAATGCCTAGCCCAAACACTAGGAAATGTGATTAGCTACCTAGTTAAGTACATAAACAAGAGCTTACTTTTAAGAGAGTCAGGAAAATGTGAACAAAAATCCTTTTCTTACCCCTTAATCAGATTAGAAAAAATTTTCTCAATCTAAGTATTGGCAAGGTGAGAGGGGATATGTATTGTCACTGAGCGAAATGTAATGGTCTTTTTGGCAGTGTGCACTGTAATATTAGGTATTCATATGCTTCAAATGAGTGATTTCACTTCCAGATTTTTACCCAAGGGGAATGTACGGTATATGAGCACAAAGAAGCATTTACTAGATGTGGCATTGTTATTGTAGCAGAAAATCTCCAGCAGTGTAAAGGTCTATCATGGAAGGGTTCTTTGTTTTAAATAAGTTGTTTAATGGATTTTGAAGAAGGAACCAATTAAATGTAACTCACATGAGTTAGAGGTAAACAGAATAACCTATGAGATTTGTAACAAGAAGCATCTTCAAGTGTGTACTTTGACCACTTCACATCAGCCATTTTATAATGCATTTAACCAAAATATTTCCCTTGAATTAGCAAACCATTTTCTAAAAGTCATGTAGTATTGAGTACTCACCTTGTATGCATAAGCACATAATGGTAATTCTCTGAGGGAACATGCAGGTGAACAAAAGCCCAGTTTTATTGCCACCATACATGAACTTGGAGACTTCTTTTTCCACTAGTGATGGGGGCAAAATAAAGGGAGGGTCTAACTGATTGAATAGCAGTTTCATGGAATGGATCATTTTCAAGATCTTGTGGTATGTAGTGTAGTATTCGTTGATTGTTTCTTCAATATGTGAATAATTGTTATTTAATATATCAGATGAAAGAATCTTGTTTGTTATTGTTGTTGTTGTTCTGGGAATTGAACCCAGGACCTTGCTTATGGAAGAATCTTAAAGAATTTAATGTGCATGTAGTGGGAGGGCAAAGAGGAAAGATTAGTATGTTAGGTAGATATCAGGATTTTAAAAGGAGCCAAAAGAAATGTTTTCTTTATGTCTGTGCTTATGTGAAAAAGATTGAGTAAAATATCGTTGCATGAGCTTTTCAGAACATCAACTTTAGCAGCTTTAATCTATGGGTTTATTATTTGAAAATTACAAAAACAAAAGCTTTGGCTATTGTTAATTTTATATTATTATACTTATTATTAGATATTATTAGAGTAATGATATAGGGTGAAAATTGCTTTGTAAAATAAAAGAATTATGGGATTTTTAAACCAGAGTTTTGTTTGATGGATTTATTAGATATTTTTCCTATAAAAGATTATCTTTATTTAAAAGACTTTTGTCCTGAAGATAATTTATAATCCCATAAGAAAAGAAGCTTATATTAGCAATTGCTCCAATTTAAGAATTATTTTCTAAAGCAATTTCTTTAATATACTTAACTTTCAATCACATTTGCCTTTGTAATTGAGGCAAAACCTAAAGAAGCTACTGTGGTCTAACAAAAATGCTGTCATGTTAAGGGAAGCTAATACAAGATGAGAAGCATGATTGTATCCTACTGAGACACAAGACAAGATACTGTGTTTTTAAAAAAATAAAACTGTCGGGAAGGGGATTTAGCTCAGTGGTTTTGCTGCCTGCTGCGCAAATGCTGCAAGGACCCAACTTTGATCCCTGGCACCAAAAAATTTTAAAAAATGAAACTGTGAATTATTTTTTGCAGAAGTCAACAAAAGGTTCCATTGTCCTTGACCATGTATTCCGTCACATAAACCTTGTGGAGATAGATTATTTTGGGCTACGTTTCTGTGACAGAAGCCATCAGACGGTGAGTACAATGACTTCATATTAACTTCTTCTGATTATAAATTTCCCTCTATCTCTGGCCTTTCCAAGTGGTTAGCCTCTTTGCAACTGAAAATGACTTTGAACACCTCAAACATATTTTCCCCTGATAATTTCTTTGCATTTTTCCCTCTTTGGCCAAAAGTTGCTGGGTTCACGCCTTCTTTGGGTGCAGTCCCTCTTTGCAGGTGGCTTATGTTGCTTCCATTTTTGCGACCATGTAATAATGTGTGCTTTCCATTTGTGCTCTTGAGAGGACTGGATAATTGTCTAACGTGTTAGTGTTAGGAGAAAAGTGGCTAGCTCTAGAAGTGACAGACATTATTGATTTTTAAGAAAGAAAATAATTAAGCAGAAAAAACATACAATGTAAAAAAATGCCCCTATTAAGTTTTAAAAGTGGTTTGAACTGTTATAAAATAACACGTAGAGGTTTTTGTTTATGAACTTGGAGATATAAGAGTAGTAAAGGCAAGCTGGCATTTGGTTCTTATGTCTATTATTCACAAGGGTTAACTTGGAAGGGCTTCCTGTGTTTTGGATGGTATAGCTACTAAGAAATTTGCCACAGTGGAAAGACTTTGAAGGTGATGATTTTGAAGGATGAAGAGATATTCATTAATGTGACTTTTGGTTTAGTCTAAGAAAAATATTAAACTCAGATAAACACAGCCTTATGCAAAGTGCTCATATGCTTTCCTTAAGATCACTCTATTTAACTGCCTTTTGTTTTTTAACCTATGAACTTCTGTTGAAATAAATGTTCTTCCTCTTCCTTCATCAGTTCTCCCAGCCTGCACTGGGTTATTTGGGTTGTATTCATCGAGGAAGCTTTCATTTTCTGAATGGTGTCTCTGTACCCTGGCCTCATAATGACCTAGCACGAGAAGAGATAGGCAAGTGGAATGCTGTTGATGGGGGTAACTGGTGATTTCTGTTTAATCTATTTCACAGGAAGATTTCACAAGATAGGAATAACAATTGGGCATGTTGGATAGATTTCTACAGAAAGGAATAGCTTTTCTAAGTCAAGTGGTCATTAATGAACACTTAAAAGAAATGAAACATTTTTAGAAGTTCACTGAATTCTATCCCATACAGCCCACAAGTCACTACAGCAGGACTGTAAAGCTATACTGAAAGATTTGATTGAAGGCTATAGAAGGTACCTTAAATTATATTCATATTTTATAAATAATATTTTCTCCTAGCAGAGAAAAATACAGTTTTTGGATATTATTCAATGTATCAGCCCTTGTCTGCATAGATTGACTGCCTCACTAAAGTAGTCTCTCTCTCTATCTCTCTCTCTCTCTCTCTCTCTCTCTCACCCCCTCCCCCTTGGAAAGGAAAAAAAAAGTGAAAAGCTATAGAATTTCAAACAGTGGCCCTTCCTGTTGGAAAAGAATTAAAAGTTAGCACTGATAGTTTATAGAAAGTTTTGTAGGGTTTATATTAAGGTCAGTTTTTTTCTGTTGACTTTACTCCTAAGGTTTGATATCTGTGATAGTGTTTATAATACAGATTTTACAAGAAAATAAAGTTGTACACTTAAAAGGAACAAGTGCTTAACATGTTTTGATGTGGTAAGAACATCAGGTATATCAATGATATGTAAAAAGTACTCTTTGCCTTACGAATTTGTGTTATTTTCTTCTAGTGATAAAATAGAGATGGTTTTTTGTAAACATTGCTTAGTCTCTGCATGTTCAAATGTATTGTCTGATTCCCTATAGTTCCTTTTACTTGTAGGAATCTTTGAGTATATGGTCATGAAAATTTGTATTTCTAGTACATTAGTAGGAGCAATCTTGCATATCCCGTAGGTACTTAAGGCAGATGAAAATTTAAACAGTAACCTTATGTTAGAATAGTACAGGATATGGTAAAAAAAAATCTTTGCCTTAAAAATTAGGTAATGGTTTTCATGAATATTGCCTAAGTTACCATCCATTAGATTAGATTTTGTGTATTGCCTTGCCTTTTCTGTACCCAGCAGTTGATTTTTTAATGAGGAATGCCTGTGTAATGATGCCTAATTCATATAATTATGATACACATTAAAATCTACCTAAGAGAGGACTTTGAAGCCCTAAGACAGACCACTAAGGTCAACTCTGGGGATGTATAGAAAGAGAGAAAGTGGGAGCTCTGTGGATGAAAGAGAAGAAAGATAACTAGGGATGAAGAGGTGGCTCACAACAACAAAAAGCCCTAGGCTCTTTCTCCTCTTTTTCTTAGCACATGACTTGGAGCTGTGTGGGAACTCTGGCTGGAACTGGGGACCAATGTAATTAATTACAAATGACCTTTTATAAATTTTAATTTTATTAGCATATGCTTGGAGTGCATGATTACATTCACTTTGGGGTACATGTACATAACACATCTTACTTCTTTCTGTGTCTCCTTCCCTCCCCTCTCTTTTCCCTCTCTCTGCCTCTTGGTCTCCTTCCTATTTGCAAATGATCTGTCTCTCTGCTTCCAGTTATCTGTTATTTTGTAATTCATTCATACTTTGGGTTTCTCATATAAGGGAAACCACGTGACAGAGGAGGGCTGGAGAGTCTGAGAGATGATGTAATAATGGAGGCAGAGGTTGGAGCGGTGGATAGAGGCCTTGAGCCAAGGAATGCAGGCAGCTTTCAGAAACTGGAAAAGACGAGGAAATGGATTCTTCCCTAGACCTCCTAGAAGAAAGGCAGCCTTGTCTACATTTTGATTTTGGCCTAGTAAGATGCATTTTGAACTCTTGACCACCAGAACTGTAAGATAATATATTTCTATTGGTTTAAGCCATCAAGTTCATAATAATTTGTTATAGTAGTAGAAGGAAACTAATACTCATGGATGCAGTGTAGAAGGATTTTATTCTTGCTTGCTGAGTGAGAATATAAGGCTTTATTGCTTAGGTTCTTCACATTAGACAGAAACCTGAAACACCATTACTTTTCCTCGTGACTGGAACGGTATGTGCTTCCTCAGCTATGTGTGAGCGATATTCATTGTTGCTTCAAAAGTATTTAAGTTCTTTATTATGGGAGAGGGATTGTGAGATCAGCTAATGATAGACCAAAAAACCCCCTGAAATTATAGCACAGACTTTTTCACTTTAAATAATTGGTGATTTGAGATTAATCTGAGGCTGGAAGGAACTTGAGCCACCTTTGGGCTTTCAGACATTTTATAAAAGGAGTGTGACATGATGGAAAGAATAGCTGCCTTTGGAGCCACAAGATAGGGTTATATCCAGTGCATGCTTTTAATGAACGGTCGTCCTTAGTTTTTCTGAATCTTAATATCTTAGTCTGTTTTCTGTTACTATATTGAAATACCTGAAGCTAGGTAATCAATAAAGAAATCAGGCTTGTTTACTCTCTGGTTTGGAGGCTTAAAGGACATCGTGTTGGCATCATGCTCAGCTCAGGTGAGGACCTCATAGCAGACCACTTCATAATGACAGGAGTGTGTGCAGTAGGGAGAGATCACCTGACAGGACAGGGAGTGAGTGAAACTGGAGAGTGTCCAGACTTGCTCTTTTATAGCAACTTTCCCCAGAGGACTAATCGGGCTCCCCAAGAGCTACATCAATTCCTCCTGAGAGTAGCACTCTGATCTTACCTCTGAAAGGTTCTACACCACCTCCAGTCACCACCATACTGAGGACCAGGCTCCCAACACACAAACTCTTGGGCGGACATACCCAGGCCATAGCAGTGCCCTTATCTATAAACTGAAAATAAAATAGCTTCTTTCACCAACTCATAGGATGGTTGTAGGATCTAATAAGAATGCAGGAAAGCTCTGTGTAGTGTTAAATATATAAATCCCTGTCCTGTTGAAACCAGGCTGGGAGAAAATATAGCTGGTGATTTTTTTTATAAAGTAGACTGGGGATAAAAAGGAAACAACCTGGAGGAAAGAAGAGAGAAAATCAGATAAGCTTTCGAGTCTTGAAAATTTTGGGAAATTTTTTTGAAGATGACATTTTTTGATGACATCGAAAGCAATAACAAGGATAAATGTCATATCCCAATACTACATCTGGTTTTAATAGTAGTGGTTATAATCATGTCTAATTTTGTTTGTTTTTTTGTTTTTGGTACCAGGGATCGAACTTGGGACCTTGCGCTTGCGTGGCAGGCGCTGGAACCACTGAGCTAAATCCCTGGCTCTCATGTCTTCTTTGGCATTAGCACTTGAGGATCCTTTAGAAATCACTCCTTGAAAGGCAGTCATTATGTCTAATTAGAGCTTTTTTCAGAAGATGGAACTCAATATGACTTTGAGAATCAGGCTGCTCAATCTGCTGCCCTTTGGCCTCAGAAGTCAAAGAAGCACACACATAAGGTAACATGTAAATAGCCTCTTCCTCCAGTGAACTCTTACTTTGCTTCACAAGACAATAAAAGCAATCAGAAAGAAACTTTCCACCTCCTTGACCATCCTCACTCCCAAGCGCACTTGATTGCTTCTTACCCACCCTTTCCCTTCTTGTCACAGTGGAAGAGTCTCAGAGCTTCTAACCTGAATCTTTCCATTTCTTGCTGCTCTGGTAACTCTAACCTCCTGGGGAAGAAGGCATCAGTGGTCCCTCAGTGTCTAGGTTTATTAAAATTTCTTCTTTTTAGAACCACTCCCACTTCCTCTGGAACTGCCATTTTTGACTCCCTGTGTCATGTCTAAACTCCAGAATGCTTTTTCTAAACTCATTGCTTTCATTTCTTAGATCCCTTTGATTCCAAAACTTCTCACAGTTCAGGTTTGAGTCCTACTGTGCAACTAAAACTACCTCCCTGGTTGCCAGGCATTATTGTACTTGACCTTTCTGTTGTTCTGACACTAACGATTTGCTCTTTCTGGAAGTCTTCTCATTTTGTTCTTATGACATCACATTTTCCTTATTTCCTCTTTTCAAGTTATCTACTGGTTATTCTTGTCTAAGTTTCCTTATGATCACTTTTCTTCTCCCTAGTCTATAAA